GTAAGGGGGTCATTTGAGTCTTCAAAATATATTTAATTCCAATATTTCACCTTATTCATAAAATCCTTTTTTAAAGATTTATTTTTATTTATTTTTATTTATACTGTACAGTCAGAGGCACAGGGGATGACAGAATTCACCAGAGACAAAGCGGGGAGCAGAACAGTCAGATGGAACAAAAACACTGCTGAGGGGAGCAGCATGGGAGACAGGAGAGGTCTGCCACACCATGTGGGTTTCTCCCTGGCCAGCTGGGAATTGAACCTGCAGCTGCAGAGGCTACAGACAGTGTCACAGTGTCACAGTGTGGCGCTCAACCCACTGCACCACTGGGGAGGCCCTATTCCTAAAATCTTATAACATAGTTAAGGGCCTCCCCTTACTATGGTGGTGCGGCGGTTGAGCGCTGGGCTGCGAAGCTGCCCGCAGCCTCTGCAGTGCGAGTTTGATCCCTGGCAGCCAGCGAGGGTCCCACATGGCGCGCAGACCTCTCCTGCCGTGCCCACTGCTCCCCTCAGCAGTGTATTTCGTCAGTCTGCCTGTTCTGTTCCCCGCTCTGGCTCTGGTGAATTCTCTCACCCTCCCCGCGCTTCTGACTGTACCCAGTGCTTATATAAATAAATCTTTAAAAACAAAACAAAACATAGTTAACACTGTGATACAATGCAGCTTTTGTGCTACTAAACATCCTGCCCAGGTATGAGAAAAGTGAAGCAACCTCTGAAACATTATGCAAAATAATTTTGATATCTAGGGACTTTAGTCCCTAAAGTGGTACTTTGTCAAATGTTGACACCAGTCCAAAAAAGAAGTTCTTTTTCTGTATCCACTCAGGAAATTGTTATAGACAGTATATTTTTATTTGTTAAGGACAATCCCTGTAGTCACAACAGATTTTAACAGGGTACTTAAAGCAAAATGTTTGTTTCAGTTGACCTAAGAGTCAAATCAAATCTCTTTGGTTGGAAACTTCCTAAGTTAGCTGTACCAGTCAGGTGTGGGTCCCCAGAGTCCACGTGACCGAGGAAGCATCTAGAAGCAAGAAGGACCCAAACATGGGAAAAACTACAACTGGACAGGAAAAAATTATACATCTGTTCAACTTAAATGTGTAAAAAGTTCCCATAGTTACTTTTCAAAATGTTATGAGAAACATGAAGCCGTCCAAGTTCAGGCTTCTTGCCAAATACCTCACCCTTTCTGTATCGAATCCCGTCTCCAAATCGGAAAGGTATATTTTAGAGAGGTTTTCCAGAAACCATTTGAGCTTTAATTTTTGAAAGCTAATCTTTAACCTAAAGACACATGAACATTAATTACAAATTGTCTTTATCATTAATAAATTCTAACTTAGGCAGTGTTTTTTTACAAATCTGTTTTGATAAGATTCTCACTTTATAATAAATCTTTTTAATAAAAAATAACTTAGAATTCATTTCTGAAAACCCACGGAAAAGGTAATTTAAAAATCCTTGGGGAGGAGAAGGGAAAAAAAGAATCATCTGTCATTACTGTTCTACAAAATTCAGTTCTGTCTTATATTTCCATGTTCTTCTCAGAGGATCAGTTCTTCAGAGCAACTCCTTTTGGGTAGCGATACATCCTCAGAACTCCCACAAATGTGCAAACAGGTAAATCTGAAAATGTCCTTTGAAAATATCGTCTAAAATAGCATGAAAGTGAAAACAAACAAAAATGTCCATCAATCTTGGTCAAATAAACTATAGTATGTCTTTAAGACAGCCAAGTAAAACAAACATTTTGAACCAAACAAACTTTTCAAACTTTAAAATAAAAGACGAAAGTGCTGATCCATGTGAACGGAATCATTTTTGTTGGTTTAGAGTTAAGTCTCTCTAGAGACCAGGGAGTCCCAATGTTACGTAATTGAATGAGTGGAAGGGAAACTTCTGTGTCTTTTTCAAAAGGCAAGTATTAACAATAAAATCCAAATCTGTAAAGAGAGGACATAAAATAAAAATAGACCAATACCACTTGTGAATATTAATGCAAAAATTCTAAACAAAATACTGGTAAAAAGACTACTATTACATGAAAAAAATAATTCACCACGACCATGTAGGTTTTGTGCCCAGAATGTGTAGGTGGTTGAGATTAGGAAACATATTAAATAAATATATTCACCTTATTAGTAGATTTAAATAGAAAGATCACATGCTTATCTTCATAGATGGGGAAAAAACCTTTGACAATTTTTTATTCTTTTTTAAGATTTATTTTATTTATACAAGAACAGGGGTACAGGCCAGATGAGCAGGTGGGTGAGAGGATTCACCAGAGACAGAGTGGGGAACAGAACAGGCAGACTGAGGGAAATACACTGCTGAGGGGAGCAGCGGGTGAGACAGGAGAGGTCTGCTGCGCCATATGAGTAGCTGGCTGGGGATGGAACTCAGGGCACAGTGGCTGGCCATAGCTTGATAGTGCTGAGACTTTAACCCCTGCGCCACCGGGAAGGCCCCACCTTTGACACTAGATGAATACTTCTTTGACATTAGAAATTATATAAGAACCAGGGGCCTCCCCAGTGACGCAGCCGTTGAGCACTGGGTTGCGAAGCTGCCTGCAGCCTCTGCAGTGCTGGTTTGATCCTCGGCCGCCAGCGAGGGTCCCACATGGCGCGACAGACCTCTCCTGCTGCGCCCGCTGCTCCCCTCAGCAGTGTATTTCAGTCAGTCTGCCTGTTCTGTTCCCCGCTCTGGCTCTGGTGAATTCTCTCACCCTCCCGTGCTTCTGACTGTACCCAGTGCTTGTATAAATAAATAAATAAATATTTAAAAAAAAAAAAAGAAATTATATAAGAACCAGCATATTATATAACATGGAAATACTACAGGCATTCCTATGGAGGCCAGAGACAAGGCAAGGATGCTGTGTCCATTACTGTTTTATTGGTGGCATTAGCCAAAATAATTAGATAAAACAAGTAGAAGCCTAAGATTTAGAAAAGAATTAAAACTCTCTATTTGAAGATGATTTGATAGGAGACCTGGAAAACTTCAGAGAACTAATGATGAAACAAACTCAAAGAAGAATTTAGCAAGATAGCAGGATGTGAAATTAAGATGCACAACCAATAACCTTCAGATACATAGATAAATGCCAGATAGAAAAGGCAATGGAAGAGAAACCCCCTTTACCAGTGGAACATAAAAGAAAAAATACTTAAGAATACACTGATGAAATGTAGAAAACCTATGTAAAGAAAATCATAAAAATAGGAAAAACAAATACATGTGTGAGCCAATGGAGCGCCATTCCTGACTCCTGACTGAAATGCTTCATCATCATTAAGATGTCGATTCTCCCCAAGTTACTTTATATATTTAATATAGTCTCAGTTAAAAAATAGGGCCAAGGGCCTCCCCGGTGGCGCAGCGGTTGAGCGCTGGGTTGTGAAGCTGCCCGCGGCCTCTGCGGCACCGGTTCGATCCCCGGCCACCGGCCACCAGAGGAGGGTCCCACATGGCGCGCAGACCTCTCCTGCCGCCCGCTGCTCCCCTCAGCAGTGTACTTCGGTCCTTCTGCCTGCTCTGCTCCCCGCTCTGGCTCTGGTGAATTCTCTCACCCTCCCGCGCTTCTGACTGTACCCAGTGCTTGTATAAACAAAACAAACAAATAAATAAATAAAAACATGCCTCTATAAAAAAAAAAAAATTAAAAAAAATGTAAAAAACAAAACAAAACAAACAAACAAAAAAATAGGGCCAAGACATTTTCCCTGGAATTTGAAGAGTTGAAACTAAAATTGTGCTCCAGTCAGTCTGTCAACTTGAAACAAAATTGGGCCCGAAGCAAGCTCTATGCTGCAGCTGCACTGGTGGATGGGCACATACCGTGGGGCCAGCCTGCCTCACCTCTCCATGATTTCCTGAGAAATGAGGAATTAGGGTTGCCAAATCACCCAGTTTTCAAAATAAGCTAAAAGTCTCTGTGTGCAAGTGGCGTTCTCATATGCGAATATGGTAACTAATGCAAATTAAACATAAAATAGTTTGGGCAAAATAAAATCCACCTTGCCAGCACATCCAGTCCGCAGGGTGTCAGCTTTTAACCTGGAGGCCGGCAGACTTCTTCGGTAAAGGGTCAGGTAGTAAATAGTTCGCGCTCTACAGCCTCTATGGCACATACCTGCTTATTTATTTTTAAATGATTTTTTAAAACTGGGCCTCCCCTGGTGGCGCAGCGGTTGAGTGCTGGGCTGCGAGGCTGCCCGCAGCCTCTGCAGCGCTGGTTCGATCCCCGTCCACCAGTGAGGGTCCCACATGGCGCGCAGACCTCTCCTGCCGCCCGCTGCTCCCTCAGTAGTGTACGTCTTCATCAGTCTGCCTGTTTTGTTCCCCAATCTGGCTCTGGTGAATTCTCTCACCCTCCCACGCTTCTGACTGTACCCAGTGCTTGTGTAAATAAATAAATAAAAATTAAAAAAAATATTTTTTAAAACATAAAAAGGCATGCTTAGCTCAATGCCCGATAAAAAAACAGGCCTTGCATTTGGCTCTCAGGGTGGTAGCTAGTCAGTCTTGGTTAACAAATTATTAGAAATTTGTAACAAATCATTAGAGATCATTTGAGATTTAATGAGCATTTTTAATGATAGCCACATGACCTGGTCTCCTCTCACACAAATAATTAAAAAACAAGTCAAACTGGGATAAGTATGAAATATGTAAATTCACCATAATGAACCATTTCATAACACAGTATATTTTCCTAATACATGAGCAATAATCAGGAAGCACATCCTGAAATGGAGTTTATACATAAATTTAAGACACTTTCTACCATCGGTCACATTTCAACTGCTTTTACAAATGGTGTAATATTAGGGCCTCCCTGGTTGCAAAAGCACAAGTTCAATCTCCTGCCAGGGAGCTATCCACATGGCACAGCAGACCTCTCCTGTCTCGCCTGCTGCTCCTCTCAGCAGTGTATTTTTTTTTTTAAGATTTTATTTTTTATTTATTTATACAAGCACTAGGTACAGTCAGAAGTGCGGGAGAGTGAGAGAATTTACCAGAGCCAGAGCGGAGAGCAGAACAGGTAGACTGACAAAGTACACTGCTGAGGGGAGCAGCGGGTGGCAGGAGAGGTCTGCGCGCCATGTGGGACCCTCACCCGGTGGCCGGGGATCGAACCGGTGTTGCAGAAGTCGCAAGCAGCTTCGCAACTCAGCGCTCAACCACTGCGCCACCCGGGAGGCCCTCAGCAGTGTATTTCAATACATCTACCTGTTCTGCTCCCCACTCTGTCTCTGGTGAATCCTCTCACCCCCACACCTCTGGCCTGTACCCCAGTTCCTGTATGCATAAATCAATCAATTTTTAAAAACAAAGACAAATGATGCCGTATTAGTTGAAAAATGTTTTCTATTTTACTCCAGTCATGTTCTCAAAAACCCCAGCATTTTCATATTATTCAGATTTTTCTGCTCAAGAGTTATCAGGGTGGTTCTTGCTTCTTGGCTGCCAGCTACACTCATATCCTTTCCTAATCCCTTAAAGAGAATCATGCTTGAAAATGTTAAGGATAATAGCATCTATTTCTGAGACTGGCCAAGAACTCTGTAATCCCTTTAGACAAATGACGTGGCAAACATCACAGGAAAAATCACATCCAATTCATCCTTGTGGATACTCTGGTCACAGCCCAACTGCAGAAGGGACATTGGAGGGGCTTGATCCAAACAACTGTGAAACTTATTAGAAGACTGTACAATCTTCCTCCTAGAACTCTCCAAAAACAGGATGGTGAGATTTAAAAAATTACTACCTGTGGAGAAATACCTTTCATACTCTAAAATTCATCAAAAAAGATACTGGGAGTATCAATTATAGCATCATTTGCTGAATGGAATTTGATCTGGATCACATGTAATTTGACTCTGTCTATATAAGCTTTACTGTGTTAGGCTCAGTAACAAAACCAATCCAGGACTTAGGATTACCAGAGCTCAGTTGGGCCAAGTTCCTGTGGTTCTTAATCAGTGTCTTTAATTTTAGACAAGAGCAAATTCAAATGTAGCTCTTAAAGGTTCAGAGCAGTGATGTGCTAGAGTAGGTGAGCCTCGAGCTGTTTGGTAGGGAGCCCAGTGGACACAGCCATCATTAAAGATTAAATAAACTCTGACGTACTGTATAAAAACAAAGTTGTAAAAACTCAAAACTCATCACTCCCCAATTATTTTACATTTTATCATTATTTCTGCTCTTGAGATTATTTACTTAGTCTGTTTTCTGTGGTGGAAAAACCAAGTGATGGCATGCTGAGCGCCTATCCGCAGCTCTGCGTTGTCATCAAGGTGCTAATCTGAAATAGGTTTAGCGTATTTGCACCTGGAAGAGGCAATTACTATAACCAGGCCCTGCTCCCACTTCCTGAGTCCATGTGTTATAGAGCAACCCCGATATTAAACGGGTTCCTGGCTGTGGGTCCTCACCCGCGCGCTTTAAAGGGACTTATGAATACTCTACTACAGACACATGCAAAAGGGTTAATAAAAGGTTTATTTACAAGAGAAAAGGAAATAAGGAAAATGTACAACTCAGGGAGAAAATAGGGAAATAAAGTCTTTAATGCGTCCTACCCTGGAAACCCCAAAGTCACTCTCAGAGCTGACCGGACCCCCAAAGCCCACGTGTCTGCCTTTTGTATCCACCTGGCTGCTTAACCCCACCCTCAGGTCCCAGCCACCTTCCCTTTGGTGGTGATGGGATTTGGAGTTCCCAGTGTCTTTGGCTTTGACCTGGGGTGGGGTTGGAGTCCACAAAGCCTATATGGAATTTGCTTTGGGACATCCTTTTCCCCCTAACACATGTAGACATTCAACCAGCACACTTCTGGCTACAGGGGGCACTACCAGCTCTTGCTAGATCAGTCATTCTCATAGCTCTGCAAAAAATTTTCAAAGTTGCCTACATACCTAAAAAAAACAGAATTTTCTAGGGATCATTAGAAATGGCTTCCTTTCTGAGTACATATACTTCTCTCTAAACAAGGAAGCAATTTTTTTCCCTTGACTAACAGCAAAGTCTGAGAAATTTTGGAATTCCCACAATTAATGTTTAAGAGAAAGGATTCAGATGAATTATTTTTATTATTTGTCCTTTGTCTCTGACATCAAATACTTCTCCAGTAGAAGAGCTGCTGCCTACCCTAAGGCAATATAAACTGGCCCCAAGAACAAAGATGGACCAATTTGCTCCCCGCCCACCTCCAGGAAGTGATTAAGTAGGACCCGGGGCCACACCTCCTGCAATACAAAGGCCAGATTCACTAACAAATGGTTTGGATGCCATTTGGGTCATTCCAGATACATGGACTATCTCATTCAAGTTACTTAAAAGAATATAAATATTGGACAGTGTGGGAAAAAAACCAAAGGCATGTATGGAAAAAGCATCCCACACCTTTGTTTTGGTTTTCTTTACGTTTGTCTTGGAGGGCTTGCAAATATTCTAAATGCCTAAGCTGAACTGGAAAGAGAAATACACACTGGATATGAGCTATTTTTAACCTACTCTTTATTTTTTAGGTGGTTGAAAAGAAACCCCTGGCCTCTGGTGGGCAGTGTGGCCTTCTACCGCCAGGGGCCACCTTATGGAAGCGCAGATGTCAGGACAAGGGGGCTGGGGCTTGTTCTCTGGAAAGGCATCAGTTCATCATAAATAGTCCTGTCTGAGGAATGCCCATGCCATACTCTAAATTTGAGAAAGCCACTTTCAGTATTTTTCTGTGGGAAATTTGCAAACATGATGTAGAACATTGCACTAAGTCCTGACATTATAGGAAAGCAGCCATTAGGGCATTAAAGGTTATTTCCGAGCATTTATGTGCAGGTTTACATGTAGAATGGGGTCTCCCAGCACACCCTTAGCGCTTAACATTTGATGTCTGGATGCAACGGAAATGTGCTATGATGGCGCTGGCCTCTGGGACTCCCACAGACCTCACTCATGGGTGCCTCCGCTCGCACTGTCCTGCCTGTGGGTGCTGTGAGAAAAGCCAACTTCCTTCTTGTGAACCAGCAAACAAGTCTAAAACATCTACACTTTATACTTTACTAAAGATAAACAAAATGATCAACACAGTTACAGGTCAATGTGAAAGCAGTGAAAAGTAGAAAAGTGCATATTTCAGCAGACAGCTCCATCACCAACACGGAATAGTTCAGTCTATGTAGTCAAAGTCTTCTGGAATTCCAAAATTTTTATCAATTTTATTTTCTTCAAATCCAAATTTTCTTTTCGCCCAAGATTTTATTGCAAATATGTTATCTATAAAGAAAATCAAGAAATAATTTTTTAAGTTTACAATCAGAAAACATTTCAAATGTAATTAGACTGTCTCTTTTTACTTTTCTGTATTACTGTCAGAAGCCTCGCGATAAGAGCATTTTGAATCAATAAATCTCATATTAAAAATCCAGCAAAATGGTTGCCACTAGAGAATACGTGACTTGAGAACAATCCAAAGTCAGGCAAGGTTAGCGGTGCTGCTTCTGCTTGTCCAGAGGGGCTGGGGGGGGGGGGCACGCGTGTGTGTGTGTGTGTGTGTGTGTGTGTGTGTGTGTCTCAGGACTGTGACCTGACCTCGAGAATCAGAGCTGCTCTTTTCCTAGACGGAGCACATTCCCCGCAGCCTCTTCTTCCTCCCTGCAGAGAGTAATGACTTCCAGACAATCTGGTCAGTGTGAGGGAGAAAGGATGAGGCGGGAAGGGGAAGGGGGTTCTCCTATCTTAAGACCAAGACAGGAACAGATGCAGCCTCAGTGCCCTCTCGGAGGAATTTAAAATGCATTTCACCACTGAAAATAAGTGTTATCTACTTAAAGGAAATGAACCCAATGAAATAAAAGCACTTGTTTACAAAGATTTATAGTCAAAGATCTTCACACAGTGTAATGAAAGAAAAAGCCCTCTTGTGTCTAATGGCCTGGAAGTGCCTCCATGAACAGGCAGTGAGGGAAGCGGGGCAGTGCCAGCAAGCTCCCAGTGGCTGCTCTTGGGGCAAGAGAATGACATTTCTCTTTTTAAAATATCTTAGACCTTTGTCTTAATATACATATACAGCCTTTGTAATAAAAAATGTATTACAAACAGAAAAATGGTAGGTTTTTCTGGTTCAGATGTTTCTATACAATGTGAACTACCAGATTAGTGGTGGTGATGAAATAAAGGGTTAAAAGAGGTTCTTTAGGACTGCTGTTAGTTATCTCTACCCCCCACCCCCCATTCATCTGCCGAAGTCCTAACTCACAGTACCTAAGTAAGAATGAGACTATATTTTTTGAGATTGGGTCTTTGAAGTGACTAAGGTAAAATGAGGCCATTTAGGGTGGGCCTTCCTCCAGTCTGACTGATGTCCTTTTTAGAAAAAGAAAAGCAGGGCATTCTGAGATGCCAGGGTGCCCAGGAAAGATCCTGTGAGGACACACTGAGGAAGCAGTCACCTTAAATCAAGGAGAGAGGCCTACAAAGGAACCAAACCTGCCGCTCCTTAGACCTCGGATTGCCAGCCTCAGAATTAGAAGAATATAAATTTGGGTTGTTTAAGTCCCCCAGTATGAAGTATTTTGTTATGACATCCTTGGCAAGTTAAAAACATTGTTCCAGGAAATTTAATTTGAATTATCAAATAATAATTAAATGCTGGAAATGATGTTCACTTCTAAGGTGACTACTGCATCAAATGGAGTAATGTTAACAAAATATCCTCATTTCATTCAATTCAAGATGTACTCTCAAAGATATTAAAATGAATCTTTGAGGGCCTCCTTGGCGGTCAAGGGTTAAGATGCAACCTAACCCCTCAACCAAGGGGTTAAGATGCAACCTATGAAGCTGTCCTCAGCCTCTGTAGCACGAGTTCGATCCCTGGCCAGCCAGGGAGCTACCCACATGGCACAGCAGACCTCTCCTGACTCGCCCGCTGCTCCCCCTTAGCAGTGTATTTTGGTCAATCTGCCTGTTCTGTTCCCCACTCTGTCTCTGGTGAATCCTCTCACTCTCCACACCTCTGGGCTGTACCCCAGTTCTTGAATGCATAAATAAATACATCTTTAAAAGGTGCTGTTTTTAAAAAAATAAAAAAAAATGAATTTTTGGATAACAATCTGAAACAAATTTTTACTTTTATAAAGACCTAGAAGAGGATACTAATAGTATGAAAAACTCCAGAATGATGTTTGATTTTACTCAAAACCCACAGACATTCACAACAATTGTAGACAAATATATTTAGAGGGCCCACTGCTACCTAAGATAAGCATTAAGTTTATTATAAGTATTCTAAAATGTAGAGATTAATGCCTTCAAGCCAACAGAAGGGCAGAGAAAGACAAGTCAATAATTTATTACTAGTCAATAATTTATTACTAAATATTACTAAATATTCCAAAGTGATATGTCTGTCAGAGAGAAAAGATCAAGAATTATGGGCAGATCTTCCAGAACAGTCTCCATGAGCACAGAAAAAGTCCCAGGAAATGCGAGAACAGATACTACACTGTAGGAACCTTGGAGGTGATTGACTCCAACCTGGATCAGGGAGAAGAGGGTGCACCCCCAGGAGGCAGCCTGTGCAGGAAGGAGTTTCCAGTCCACACATCCTCATTTTATTATTTTACAAACCTTTCAATTTTATGAAAAACTTTCAATGATTAAAAACAAAAGGACAGAAGCTCCTCCACAACAACGCTTAATGAATCAATTAAGGAAGAATAAAATTTCCCTGGGCTATTGGATGTTGCCTCCAAGATAAGTTTCCTTACAACCATGGCAGTTTGTTGATTCCTGTCAAATAATTTTGCTACTATATGGACACTGCTGTATATAAAAATTTTTTTTTTTTTAAATAAACCGCCTCAAGACTAGAAGAATGTCAGTTAATTTATATGATGGTGGACCCAAGATGCATATATAGGGAGAGGATGGGCAATGTCACATGGCCTCAGACATCTGAGGCCATGTGAGGACCCCTACTGGCATCAAATAGATGATTATATTACATAATTACGTGTGCTTAATATATTATGTAATTATTTTAAATAACAATAAGATACATGTTTTAAAATATATAAAAGCAGTTATATATTATATGCCTATTAAGCAAGGTTTTATATAATTTGTTAAATCACATTCAGAGTATATTTAATGTCACAAAACACTTATATGTGATATTTATAGTTATATTTACACCCTGAGGTAATCTCTCATTCCATAAAACTAAAATACTGAATTACTGAACAATAAATAGTCTAATTGCAGATAGAATTTAGGGTGCTTTTTTTTAAGTAAAAAGAAACCAAATTACATTAATAATAATGACACAATAAATCTTTAGTTACAATTATTACTGATGCTTTCTTTCTGTTTGCTTTGAAGGGAGGTTTTCTGAGGTATAGTTTGTTTTATCTACACAATCTTTTCATAACACTCATGTTGGAAGGGGTTAGTTGTAACATCAGATGGAAATATGGTTCTTAACAGCTTTTCTTTCTACCTGAATTTAAGTTTCAGTTTCTTACTCACCTAATACCATAAGGAAAAAGGTTTTTCAAATTTTTTTAAAACTGTAACTTTGGAAGCTTATGATCAACTAGAAAAACAAAGGATTTTTAAGAGAAAACTGAAAGGGGAGTGCTTGATTATCGATGTGCCTAACAGATAAAAAGCTTACAAAACTATCTTACTGAGCTCTCCCCAACATGAGGTAGCTCATGTACACTGAATGGTGAGATGCAGCTCACCAGGTCACAAGGCTAATCACAGCTCAGTCTAGATGCCTTTCAAAGTCACACACACACACACACACACACACACACACACCCTACCTTTGCTGAGACTGCTGGGGGAAATCTCTTTGTGACTCTTATTTTTAAAATAAATATCCACTTGCTGGGCCTCCCAGGTGGCGCAATAGGTTGAACGCAGCACTGTGAAGCTGTCCACAGCCTCTGCAGTGCGGGTTCAATTCCCAGACGGCCAGGGAGATGCCCACATGGCGGGGCAGACCTCTCCTGTCTCGCCCGCTGCTCCCCTCAGCAGTGCTCTCAGTCCATCTGCCTGTTCTGCTCCCCGCTCTATCTATGGTGAATCCTCTCATTCTCCCGCGCCTCTGGCCTGTACCCCAGCTCTTATATAAATAAAAAATAAAATCTTTTAAAAAATAAATAAAATAAAATAAATATCCACTTGCTTTTGCGTCCTCACTAAAAATTTTGCATCTCTTAAGCCCATACAGTATCACTTTATTTATATGTTGTCAGGCACATTTCACTCTCTTTAATGTTAGTTTGTTCTTTTTAATCCTCCTGTTCTTGTCACTAAAGCATATTTTAAAGAAATAACATTGTAATAAATGATTACACTTGTATAAGGCACCAAAGGCCAATGATACCGATTTCATCAATCTACTGAATTCTAAAACAAACAAGGAAAAATGATTAACCTTTTGGTGAAATACAGAGGCCTGGACATGGAGCTAGGAAAACCTGGCCCAAATCTGTTTTTCTGCTGACTAATCACCTTTGACTTTAGACGGCTCTCTGCATCAATGCAGTCTCTCCATGCTCTCCCACGGAAACAAAATGAGGATGAGTAATACATGTAAAGACATTATAAATACTTACCAAAAGTTCAACTACTATTATTTTATAATTAAATACTGGAAAAACATGAGTATAATTTTGAGACAGGTTTTAACAATACTAATCACACATACATGTAATTCATAGCAACCATTACTAACTTTTGTATAAACTTTAAGACACACATACAGTGCTTTATTAATTCCCTTTTTTGAATATCTGAGTTGACCAGAGCATGTCTCCATTGGCAACGAATGAATAAGGCATTAACATGAAAGCAGGAAGACAGAAAAGATAGCATCATATAGCAGCAAAGAATTTGGAATCTGAAATCAGAAAAGCTGGATTCTAATTCTTTTATCTGCCTGGGACCTAGCTGATCATGTGCTACTGATGGACTCAGTTACATCTTTGAAGGTATGACTAATCCTGTCTGCCTCACAAGACTGTAGGGATAAAAGGAGAATGCATCAGGGCCTCCCCTGGTGGCGCAGTGGTTGAGTGCTCGTAGCCTCTGTGGCGCCGGTTTGTTCCCCGGCCACTGGGGAGGGTCCCACCAAAAAAAAAAAAAAGGAGAATGCACCACAGATACCCTTTACCGTACTGGGCATGAGGTCAGTCCTCAAAAGCTGTCAGCTATCAGTACTACTAACAAGAAGATGAATCTTTAGGAGTCCATGGAACTCTTAAATTTTGTCTTTTAGTACTATATATGAAGGTTAACTGATTAGTTCAAGTGTCTAATTTGAGAAAAATCGCACAAAATTAAACAGGAAGCAATCATTCATTTTACAAAAATAATCTTATACAGCTGATCCTTGAACAATATGGGTCTAAACAAAGCAGGCGAACTTAAACATGGACATTTCTCAGGAAATATAAATGCATGAATCATTATACTGCAGATATATGATTTTCTTTTTCACATTATCTCCTCATCTTTGATGTCTAGTGTTATACATAAAACATTTACAGTGTTTCGTATCATGTAAGAAAATACTGATATAGGTGTACTGCCAGACAATTCATCTTATAAACAGCTGATGTAAACTTAAGGTATCAGTAAACACAGTATAATGTTATAAATGTATATTCTCATATGATTTTCTTAAATAACATTTATTTTCTCTACTGTATATATTACCTACAACACAAAATATATGTTACTTGACTGTTTACATTGTTGGTAAGGAAACAGTATAAAAGAAGAAATAAGAAGATGTACTGTATACACAAAATGGGATACTACTCAATTATGAAAAAGATGAAGCTTGCCATTTGGAACAACACGGATAAAACTGAAGGGGGCTATACTAAGTGAACTAAGTCAGAAGGAGAAAGACAAATACCAAGTGATTTCATTTATATGTGCACTATAAAGAAACAAAGCAAAGGAACAGACAAAACTAATCAAAACCACCATTGGAATGTGACTGCAGAACTGAGGTGACCATAGGTAAAGGAGGGTAGGGGCGAGCAAGAGGTGGAGGGGAGGGGGGCCTGAAGAGGATCATTGGTGCTTTGGGTGGTAACATACACGTGAACAGGTGTGAACCTGTATGTACACACAGTTGAGTAAATCAATATTGTATCAATAAAATTATTTTTCTTTTCTTTTCTTTCTTAAAGCCTTTACTTTGAGACATGATGGAAGAAAACAGTGTTATCAAAATTATTTTTAAAAGTATCAACAAGCTTAAAAGAAGTTTTACACCATTTTTTGATCATAAGGGGCAGCTGGTACCCCAAAACCCTGTGATGTTCAAGGGTCAACTAAATATTACAAAATGAATTATAAGATTTGAAAATTAACCCTAGGTAACTGAAATAATGTATAAAAACTTCATCAATACATATATTTTCAGAAATGTCTTTTCCTGAACAAATCCAGGCACCAGGCACTGAGATTTTATATCCTAGTGAGTGTGGGAGAAGTGTAACCACAGCTTACCAGTACCATTATAATACCTACCAGTCCATCTGTTAGCTGCTTCTTTGGCTACTTTATTTGCTTGACCTTAAAAAAAAAAGAGAAAAAAAAATGCATATATAAATACACACATACATATATACATAATTATCTTCAGCTATCTATAGATTTATTTTTTATGTGAACAAAAGATTAAATAAAATATGGGAAAAAAGCTCAAATAGGGACATAATATTGTGTAACACAAACCTGCTCAACTTTCCAAGGAAATTTTAGAGAGTTGCAATTATACTAGTCTTGGGAGCCTTTCCCCACCCCACAGATACCAAATTTCATTTTTTATATTGTGTGCCCTACATCATAGGCTTCTCATTATTTTTTATGCCACTTATTGTGAATGACACAGGAGAACAAGTAGGACACAAACAAAAATGCTCGAACACTAATCTCTAGGTTTACCTACATAGAAACTTTTACAAGTGTATTTTATTTCTTCCTATTAATCAAATTACTAGCTAAAGTCTTTTCTTCAACGGGAAGGACTCCCCCCCTTTTTTAGGGCAGGTCTGCTAGTGACAAACTCTCCATTGTTTACATGGGAATCTTATTTTATCCTTTATTTTGAAGGAAAATATTTCTAGATGTAGAAGTTTTGGTTACTGAAGATCACTTACATATGATGAATTGTTTCTTTCTTGTAGCTTTCGGGTTTTCTGCTCTTTTTTGATAGATTAGGTTATTTCAATCAAAATATCTTACTATATTCAAGCTTATGGATTCCTTCTGCCTGCTCAAATCTGCTGTTAGTCCCACTAGAGAATTTTTCATTTTAGTTATCGCAGTTTTCAACTGTAGAATAACTGTTTGGTTCTTTTTTTTCCCCCCCAGTAATTTCTATCTCCTTATTGATATTCTCTATTTGGTAAGATATTACTCTCAGATTTTCCTTCAGTTCCATAGGCATGCTTTTCTTTAGCTTAAAAAAAAAAAAAAGATTTATTTATTTATGCATACAAGAGCTGGGGTGTAAGCCAGAGGCATGACGGGTGAGAGGATTCGCCAGAGACAGAGTGGGGAACAGAACAGGCAGACTGACTAAAATACACTGCTGAGGGGAGTAGTGGGAGAGGCAGGAGAGGTCTACTGTGCCATGTGGGTAGCTCCTTGGCCAGGGGTGGAATTCGTGCTGCAGTGGCTGCTGACAAAGTCTGCATGTTTTGGTGCATGAGTCATATCTGTTTCTTTGCATGTCTTGCAAATCTTTTGGTGCAAAATGAACACTTTAAAGTAATGTAATCTGGCCATTCTGGAAATCAGATCTTTCCTTCCTTTCCAGCGTGATGGTTGTTACTCATTGTAGCTTTGTTGTTTGCTTAATGATTATCCTGTAAAGTATATATTCTTCGCTATGTGTAGCCAATGAAACCTCTAGTCTTCAGTTTGGTTATTGTTCAGTTAATGACTGAACACAAATTTCCTTAGCCACCTGGACTAAATCACTAAATCTCCAAGTCCTTGCTAAGGGTGTGTGTGTGTGGTGTGTGTGTGTGTAAGTGCATGTTTTAACACTCAGCTAGGAAGTTTACAACTCTACTTTGTCTTCACTTCCTGCTTGCACTGAATGTCAAGGTCAGCTGGATGGAGAGTAGGACCGTCGCAGTTCCTTCCTAAGAATGTACACAGCCATTTGCATGCATGTGGCTTCTAGATTTCCAGGAATATGTTGCTTTTCAAGGCACCTATGAACATCATTTTTAAGTTTCTCCTTTTAATTTGTTCGATTAGTCTACTTACTGCTTGCCTAAAACAGATGTGAAGTTACAACTCTTGCCTGTAATTATCTTAGACAAATGCTCCCTAAGGAGAGGCTTCTGGCACTGGGCATACACCAAGCCAGGTAAAACAAGACAATCCTTTCTAGTGGTGTCTTTCAGGAAACACGCAAAATATCAAATAATGAGAATTCTTTAGGAATGAGGGTCCTAAGGCATTGGAACTGCATGCCGTCTCCTCTCCTCTGAAAGCAGTAACGCGGGGCAGCTATTTTTCAAGGTTACTACTGAGCCAGAAAGAGTAGAAGTCAAAACACTACAAAGCTTGCTGTTCCCACTGAGATTCAGTCATTTTTCTTGAAAAGGCTCGGTAAGCCTTTGCTAAGTTACTAATTGTGGAAAAGCTGTGACAATTTTTGCAAGCTTTCACAGAAGAGTGTATTTTCAGAGGTCTTTACTATTTTCACTGTCATCCTGGCATTGTTTCTAATTTTTTTTTTTTTTTTTAAGATTTGTCTTATTTTATTTATACATATAAGAACTGGGATGTAAGCCAGAGATGCAGTGTGTGCATGTGTGTGTGTGCGTGTGTGTGTGTGTGTGAGAGAGAGAGAGAGAGAGAGAGAGAGAGAGAGAGAGAGAGGGTTCACCAGAGATAAGTGGGGAGCAGAGCAGAACAGGTGGATCCACTGAAATACATTGCTGAGGGAAGCAGCAGGCGAGAGAGGAGAGGTCTGCTACACCACGTGGGTGGGGCTGGGAATCGAACTCGTGCTGCAGTGGCAGCTGAAAGCTTCATAGTGCTGAGACTTAACCCCTTGGGCCATCAGGGAGGCCCATATTTCTTTTTTTTATTTTTTAAAGATTTATTTTTATTTATTTGTTTATACAAGCACTGGGTACAGTCAGAAGCACGGGAGGGTGAGAGAATTCACCAGAGCCTGAGCAGAACAGTCAGATTGATGAAGTACACTGCTGAGGGGAGCAGCGGGTGGCAGGAGAGGTCTGAACGCCATGTGGGACCCTCGCCGGAGGCCGGGTATCGAACTGGCGCTACAGAGGCTGTGGGCAGCTTTGCAGCCCAGCGCTCAACCACTGTGCCACCAGGGAGGTCCAGAGGCCCATATTTCTAAGAAAATTTCTTAAGTAGTTCTATGACTTCCTTGTAAGTATTTCTATGGAAATTTAACTTATACCACAGCTTATTTTATCACTTTTTACTTAAGTAATGATTAGAGTACATAAAATTACAATCTTAATAACTTATGCTTTTACTTCTCACTTATGGGAACTTTGCATGCAATCTTGCTAATACTTAATGATATCAATAACTAAACTGGCATGATGGAACACAAATATTTCCTGCAGGAATTATTGAGCAATAAGAGATAATACACAGCCAAGTCCACATGAACATAAAGGTTACAGCTATTATTGGCAGAAAAACTGCTTTAAAATAAACCATGACAGACTTAGAGATAAGCTGATTGTCCTAAAGTGTGCTATAGTCAAGCTATTAAGAATTAAATCCTATTAAAATTAATTTTTGGCATTTATAATCCTTTAATCCAGTATAATCTATACTTCAATACTATGATAGCTGAAATCCAATGAGATCCCTCACTATCAAAGGGAACATTTTAAAAACAGTAATTTTATTGGGGAAGGAGGTTGGGGTGAGGAGAGGTTAAAGTTTAAACTTATGGGGCCTCCCCTGGTGGCGCAGCGGTTGAGCGCTGGGTTGCAAAGCTGCCCGCGTCCTCTGCAGCGCCGGTTCGATCCCCGCCTGCTCCCCGGCCACCAGAGGAGGGTCCCACATGGTGAGCAGACCTCTTCTGCCACCCGCTGCTCCCCTCAGCAGTGTACTTTGTCACTCTGCCTGTTCTACTCTCCGCTCTGGCTCTGGTGAATTCTCTCACCCTCCTGTGCTTCTGACTGTACCCTGTGCTTGTATAAATAAATAAATAAATAAATAAATCTTAAAAAAAAAAAAAGTTTAAACTTATGTTCCCTACACTTAGTGATAAGGAGATCACTCCCATGTGCTACTTAAATATTTAAATTTCTTGGCTTTACAAATTATAATTTTCATTAATTTGGAAAAAAATTTAGACTTTCTTCAAACATTTTTCTGGCCTAGATAACCCCCCTCTTCCTCTCAACACACATTTCTCTTGGCACTCTAATCACACGTGTATTAGGTTGCTGGAAGTTGTCCTAGGTCTCAAAAAAGCTATTTTCATATTAAAATGTTTTTATTTCTCTTTGAGTTTCACCTTGGAGAGTTTCAATTGCTAGGTCTTCAAACACATTAATCCTTTCTTCTGCAAGTTTTGGTCCACTGTTAATCCAAGCAAATGTACTTTTCATCCCAGACACTGCAGGTTTCTAGGGCTTAGCGGGAGCGGGGAGGAAGGGATGGTCAAGGAGTATAATGGATGGTGATGGGAAAAAATAAAAATGAAATGGCTAATTTAAAGGGGGAAAAAGCTATTTAAAATGACCAAACTGGGGAAGTTTTAGTGGAGGGATCATTCTTTTCATTATCAAAACAGCAAATATCTGTGCTTTTCCTAGTCTGTCTTGTGATCAACCTGGCCTCCTCCACCACTGGTCTTTGCTATGAACACCAAGAAGTCATGTCCTTATAAGACAGACGAACAGAAAAACAGTTTGTTTCCTTTTCCAGATGAGTCGCGAGCAGGCCTTGCTTCCTACAGTATCCCCTACCCCACGCCTTGACTCCTTTGATGTGCTCATCTTTAGCGCTTCATTGGCAATAATTAAAACTTAAAGATAGGTTAAAATGGTTATTTTTAAGCAGTAGATGTGGTTCTTGCTTTCTTCTGGAGGATGTAAATGAAATGAATCTGTGGGCAGCGTGAAAGATCTAACACATCTTTCCAAGTACTTATTCGCGGGAAATGACCAGCTCAAAGGATCCTTTTGCCTCCTGAAAATCAGCCTGGGTGACCAGCTCAATGGCTGCATGTTACCTGCGTGAGAGCAGTCCCTCCCATCATTTGCAAGGGGGGACCTGTCTGTACAATTAAGTTTAACCTCAGATTTACACTAACTGAACTGTTAAAAATTGAAAAAAGTTATGCATCTGAGAGCAATTAAGTGTAATGTCTTTCTAATAGTCTTTAATTTCTTCAACTCTTCAAATGTATATCTTTATACAAATATATAAAATTATGCAAAATGAAGCTTTGGGAACTCTGGTTTAAAAGTAGGTAAAACATCATTGGTATATTCAAAAGGCAAGTCAATAGTCAGAATGATTTTCTGCAATTTGCAAACACTTGTATTTTTTGGAATCAGTTTTCCTAGAAGATAATGGTGGATGGATTTCTTTCTAGAGTTAAGGTACGCGGGGCCAACTTAGATCCATATCCAGCTCCTCAGCTTCCTAAGATTTTATGTCTTTACCCTTTCACCTACCTTCCTTACTCTTTAAATGCTTAAAATGTCAAAGCTGTCATGCTTTGTGATGCTTTAACATTAAGATTCCTTAATGGAAATATTAATGCAACATTAATACTATTAAAGGTTTTATTTTCTCAGATGCACACAGAATGGTTACCAGACAACTACGAGCATAAAGTCTCTCACACTAAAAATTTTAGCAAAGGTGTGACCAAAAAAAAATGTTTAACAAAGATGTGACAAAACTTACGTATTTCTTCCACAACCTGTGGGTCACATTCTTTATATTTTTCTACTTCTGCCTTTAGCTGCTCCCTTTGGTCTCGCAGTGAAGAAAGCTCCTTTGTAAGCATGGCTCGCTCTTCCTGCATCCAAAAAAAGTTATGTAACATTGTAACAAATCAAATGACTATTGTTCTCATAAATAATGTACATTAGGCTTTTGATATCAATATATATAACACATATTTACAGTATAAGAACAAACTCACCTTTCTTTGAAATCTCAAGCATCTTTTATAGACTGAATAACTAAGTGGAATTTATATGTAGAATGGATTACTCATAAATAAAGAAAGATTACCAATTACATATGGATCAACCCAAAAACAACGTCATTATAAGTTGGAAAAAAATGCTACTGGGTAGTTTCATAAGATTATGTCTGTTGTGACCTCTCCTGACTTGCCCGCTGCTCCCTTCAGCAGTGTATTCCATTCAGTCCGCCTGTTCTGTTCCCCACTCTGGCTCTGGTGAAACCTCTCACCCCCCCCGCATTTCTGGCCTATACCCCAGCTCTTGTGTGCATAAATAAATAAATATTTAAAAAAAATGTCTATTGTGTATATATATATCTTATGGCAGTGTTTTAGACAATTTTCAACTTTTAAGGATGACTCATCTTTAAAATAGTAAAGATAATCAGAAACTAGAAAGTAAATGGACTTTAAAACAAAATAGCGGTAAGCGCTGGGTTGCGAATCGAGCTAACCACATAGAACTCAGCAGTGTAATCTGGTGAAATGACTGTACCCACATGCAAAAAACATGAAAACACCCTAACATAGAAAACACTGCACCTTTTAAAATAAAATAAGCCACTATACATTTAACTAATTTAGAACTATTATAAGGCCACAATATCACTATACTGCTAGTTTTCGATTTGCTCTGTGGCAACACTTTCAAAAACACAACGCTAAAAATTTACATGTTTATATACAGGGCTTACCTTTGGCCAGGTTCTCTTCTAAGTACTGTGCAAATATCAGCTAACTTAATCCACACAATAAACCAATGAGGTAGATTTTATTATTCCCCATTGTACAACTGAGAAAACTAAGGATGAATTGTTTAGGAGACTCAGAAACCCAGCAGGGCGGCTCTAGGGTTTGTGTCTCAGCTATGCTGCCATAAGAATACCACAATAATTTAAAAACTAATCACAATTAGTGAGTCCCACCAGGCACCACCTCCCAGCCCTCTCCTGTGTGGCTGGCAGCAGAGCAGTCTCCTCATAGAAAGCTCCAGAGTCCTCACTTTTCAGTCAGCTCTGACTCCATTGCAGACTCAGACTTACCGTTTCCTGTCGGCCAATCTTAGCTTTCTCAATGCTTTTCTGTAGGGTTGCATGCTTTTGGTTTCCCTCAGATAACTAAAGAATTAAAAAAACAAGCAAAATGGCCTGGTAAGAGAAACTTGCTATGAAGTTTATAAGAAGACAAAATGAAATTTGCTTTTGGCCAAGTCAATGTAACAAACAAACACAAAAATCAAAAATTACTGAAACTAATGTCTCCAATGTGAAGAAAACCAAGTACCGGGAATCATTAGTGCAGACTAAAAAAAGTTTAACAATTATTTCTTCTCCTGTACAGGAAATTAATACATGCTTTCAATCCTTCCTACACAGTCTTCATTTATTATGTTCTCCACCTTTTCTCAAATAACTTGAGGTGCAAGATGCGGTCAAAAATTGACTTGAAAATTTAAAAACATCTGTTTTTTATATATTTTCCCTTCAAATTACATTTCACTTTTGACTAGTCTTTTCAACACACCTATACTGTCCCCAGACCAGCAGTATCGCGAGCTGCTTCACTAACAGTCAAAAGTGAACGCACCACTTCTTATCCTTGAAGTATTTTATGAGGAACTGCAGTGCTTTATATACTAAGTCTGCAGAAAAGAAAAAAATCTAGTAGTCTGTTGCTGAATTTATCCATGTTTAGGAACCTTAAGTTGATCAGTATAATCATTTTATTAAGCTTTAACATATGTTATAAGGAGATGGATAAAATAATTAACAGCATAAAGAGATTACAGATGTAGAATATTCACTAGAGGGGGGCCCCACATCAAAAAAAGATTGGTTCATTCCAGAACACTGCCTTTGTTCTGTCTCAATTTTACTAATCTTACCTGGGGCCATAACTAAATAATCAGAGCAAATTCCCAGAATTCAATTCTCCAGCACATCTTTTGCTATAAATTAGTTAGAAATTTCAGACTCATCTGACTGGGTAAGGAACTTACTTAAAATGTATTCCACTCCATCCTCACTCTTGAATTATAAATGTTTAGGAAATAATAATTGGATGAATTCTCTGTTTTGGTTGTGATAAGACACTGACCTTTTACAATATGACCTATTATATGCAGAGAGTGAATAATATTTAGACACCCTTTTTTGCTTAAAAATCACAAACAGTGTCTTTTGAAAGTTGGTAGCTTTACTGGGTCTTTTGTAAATCTTCCTCTCCTCAGTACGCATAAAGGAGCACTGTAAGCACTCTTTCAATGCTTCCCAAGTCATTATTCTAATCCTATGCGAACAAGATCCATCTGTGATGCCAACGAGACACCACCACCACCAAGTCATACCTCTTCTGGAGAGTAATTATCTTTTGTTAAAAACCAAAAATCTGCTGCAAACTTATGAGCCAAAATAAGCTTAAAAGTCCTAAATTTAGCAAGGAGATCAAGTTCTTTAAAACAAGGGTTCCCATTTATAAAATAATGCCATGTTTAGAAAGTTAAAACTCCACCCTGAAGGAACCACCTGAAATAATTAATAAATGCATACAACATTAAATTCAGGAGATTTTCCAATGAGAAAATACATATTAATGAATAGTTTTTTAAAAAATAACCAGACAGTTAAGTGTTATCCAAAAAGTTGATACTTACATAGAAATAAGCCAAAAATTTATGGATACATCTTAACCATGTTAATGATGGTCTTCTAGAATGTTAAATAAGTTACAGGTCTAGATGTAATTATTCACAACTTAAAAGCATTGGAAGGAGAGCTAGTTTAGGAATTCCTTAACTCTGCAAATAATCTGTATTTTAAATGTGATTTCATAATTTGTCATTTTAAGTGAGGGAGGCATCATCTGAATGATATTATCACTGAGAAGCTTCTGTTAAGTACTGAAACAACTTGGCTCAGCTCAATAGTGAAGGATTCTGTTTTCTGTTTAGATCTTAAAATTGCAACCAGTGGAAACAATGAGAGCAACTCTTGTTAAGCAGGTCTTTCTTTTTTTAATCAATTTTTTACTCTCTCTCTCTATTTTAGAAGCAATAGTGCCATAGATCCTATATATGCTTAAAGAAGCCCAGTCCAGGCCTTAGTCACAGAGATGAGCTGTAGAGTCAGGCATAGACATTACCTACAGCAGCAGTTCACAAACTTGAGCGGACATCAGAGGCAGTGAAGAGCCTGGTGGCACACAGACTGCTGGGTCCCCAACTCCCCATTTCTAAAAAGTGGGTCTGGGGATGGAACCTAAGAATTTCCATTTCCACATGCTGCCTGGTGATGGTGATGCTTGTGGTTTGGGGCACCACACTTTTGGGAAGTACTGAGACAAATAAAAGCCTGTTTTCTCACAATTAAAATACACAAGATATGGGCCTCCTCTGGTGGCGCAGGCAGTTGAGCGCCGCGCTGTGAAGCTGTCCTCAGCCTCTGCAGTGCCAGTTTGATGCCGGCTGGCCGGGCGAGGGTCCCACATGGCAAAGCAGACCTCTCCTCTCGCGCCCGCTGCTCCCCTCAGCAGTGTATTTCGTCAGTCTGCCTATTCTGTTTCCCGCTCTGTCTCTGGTGAATCTTCTCACCCTCCCGCGCATCTGGCCTATACCCTGGTTCTTGTATAAATAAATAAATAAATCTTAAAAAAAAATAAAATACACAAAATATTAATAAGGAAGAGTATTGCCTAGTTCATCAGTAAAAACAAATTACTGTTGAATACTGTAGTCTGAACTAGAAACATGGTATTTTAAATTTTCTGTCATAAAAAAAGTTTTACATATTATCAACAAAAAAAGGAGTAATAACTATATTCTCAGTAAAGGTATTCACCATAGGATTCCTTTAAAAAGCAAAAGCTGATACATTTCTGTAGTAGAACTGTAATACTTTTACAAACCCATTTCTGAATTTCGATAAAGCAAATAATTTTTAAAAACCCAGTAATGCAGACCAAAACAATAGCAGCAGTCACAACAAAAACTGCCTATAATTGGTAAGAACAGGATTTCATCTTTAGATTTGAGAGCTGATACAATGCATCTCTTCAATGCATTCCAGCCCACCTATACAGACACTCAAGGCTGAGAACCAGAATGCAAATGTTTTCTAAGGGGCTAATTTAATACCTAGAGGAACTGCCTATTTGTGAGAAACAGAAAGATTGATTCAAGCTGCCTACACTGGAATTCTGATTTTCTCCTTTTTAGAAATAAAAAAAAATTGAAAGCATTAGGGAAGGAATATAAACAGAGGTTTTCACAGATGGGAAAGGATTTTAAGGAATAGTGATTGGGGAGCAACAAAATTAGTCCACTGTTTCATCAAAATTCACATAAAATATGTTATGGGCAAGAACATTTTGTCTTGTTTTTTGCTTTTCCTTAAAAAAATCATTTACTTAAAAATTTTATATATTTAAAGTCTTGTTAGTGTATCCATAACTTCAAAAATTATCTTTTAAGGTGATAGGAATTGATTATGAATTGATCACAGGGAAACAATGAACACTATAAAGATATATATAAAGACAGGAGTCACATAATTATCTTTAACATAGAGAAATGTTAACTATTTCACAATTATGCAGCCAAAAGAAATGTTTTAGGAGACTTTTTAATGACACTAATATAGAGAATATAATTGTAAAAAATTAGGAACAAAACTGCCATTACATTTGAAAGCCTATGTGTGACCAAAAAAATTGCAAGAAAATGCATAAAATTCAAATAATGGTTATCTTTGTATTGCTGTACCTCCTTTAACTTTCTAGAAAATGAATATATATAACAATTATTTAAAAAATTATTTCCGGGGCCTCCCTGGTGGAACAAGGGGTTAAAATGCAGCACTATGGAGCTATCAGCAACCACTGTAGCACGAGTTCGATCCCCAGCCAGGGAGGTGACCCACATGGCACAGCAGACCTCTCCTGACTTGCCCACTGCTCCCCTCAGCAGTGTATTTCAGTTAGTCCACCTGTTCTGTTCCCTGCTCTGTCTCTGGTGAATCCTCTCTGTACCCTGGCCTGTACCCCAGTTCTTGTATGCATAAATACATCTTTAAAAAAATTATTTGCATTATAAGCAATATATGAACACATTCAATATATGAGAATTAAATGAGATTAAAGAGTATTAAAATGAATACTGAAAGTCCCTTTTGGCCTCTCTACCTTTGTACCACCATCTCCTCCCCAGAGGTGACCCCTGTAAAGTCTAAAGGACATCCCCATCCCACTCCTTTGCTTTAGATTTTAATAAATGGATATAGAGAACATCATGAAACACTCATGGGATGATCCTCTAAGTAATGCTCCACAACTTGCATTTCCAGAGAAACGTCCAGTGACAAAACACACGGGCATAGCTACTTCGTTTTTTAAAGAATAGACTTTAATTTTTAGAACAGCTTTAGGTGCACAGCAAAATTGAATGGAAAGTACCGAGATGTCCCCTTTAACCTCTGCCTCCTCTCCCGGCACCCAGCTCCCCTTACTATCTGCCCCAGATCGGTACACTTGTTACAACAGATCAGCCTACATCCACACATCATCATCACCCGAGGCCCACAGCTTATATTAGGGCTTACTCTCAGGGCTGTCTATTTCATGGGCTGTGACAAACATAGAACGACATGCACCCAGCATTATGGTATCTCGGAATATTCATGCCCAGACATCCTCTGCGCTCTGCCTAGTCATCTCCCCAATCTGTGGAGACCACTAATCCCTGCATTGCTTTATAGTTTTGTCTTTTCAAGAAAGTCATATAGCTGGGCTCATGTATCTTGTAACCTTTTACCATCCCCTTTGATCAAGTCAGAACCATACTTTGAACAATAACACAAAAGTACCCAACAATGGGGCTATCTTTGTGAAACTCTAAATGCATAAAGTAGTCAGTGACATTATGAATACTGAAATATTCAAATGCATAATTTTGATATTCTTTCTGAGGGCAAAACAGGCCAAAAAGTGAAATTGGGTTATTCCAGGAAACCAAGGACACACATGGCTTTAAAACTGTCACCACCTGTGGCAAGGACATCAAAATTGGATTCAGCTTTTCGTGAAGCAAATCTTTTCCCAGCTGGTTGATTTGGGAAGAAAATAG